CCTGCCTTCTCTTAACTAAGTCTCTTTTCTGTTGTGTCTCCTGAGTTACAAATTTCAATGACTAATTTTTGTTTCCAGATGTTGTCTCATTCTTTTAGAACTTTCAGTGTCTCAGTGCAGGAAGGAGTGACAGTGCAAAAAGAAACGCACTCATGACCTGACTTGGGAAAAGCTAACCCCTTTGTACATCACCTTTATAAGAACAGCAACAATACAAACTCTCAGCATCTCATTCCTAATTGTGAACTATTCCTTTATCCTTCATATTTTAACCCAGGCATCTCAAGCCCCTCCAGTCAGTGGTCTAGGACCTGTCTCCTGACGGTGGCAGCTGGTGTCCTATCTTTACACGCTTGCTGCCCATTCACTCTGTACCCTCTGAGCTCAACTTCAGAGAATTTTTCCAAGAGAATACTACATACTTAGAGCATTTTTTCCTAGGCAGAAGTCCTCAAAACAGCTGTCCGCTCAACTGATGTGGTCCCTGAGATGCTTTCGAGTGGTGGATGAGACCCATGTTTGCCCAACAATCCTGGGACACAACAATACTGCCTTCCTTCCCTGCCTGGACGTCTGCACAGAGAGCCTGCGCAGTACGAGCAAAGACAGCGTGCTGGGAGGGCCAGGCGGTGCTACCACAGCCCTCACCCTGCACAGTTCAAATCAAAAGGCAGCCTCGCTTAAGGGTGCCCTGGTGAAACAGAAATCTAACTGCTCCATTAAAGTTAAACCAACTTTATTAACAGAGGTCACTCTCGGCCTTCTGACGCCCTGCGTGCGCGCCAGGGTGGAGCCACCTTGGAGGGAACTCCTGCTGCGGACATGCAGCTCTGAGCGCCACTGGACCCCTGCTTCGAGGAGCAGCATTTGTGCTTGAAAGAATGATGACAAGCAATCTCAACCTGAGTCTCTGGTGACATTTTCTCAAAAGGCAACAGTTTGCCTGTCACTTCAAGGACAACAACAGATTATGTGTGTTGCCAGCAACAGTATTTGATCTTTGAAGCCAAATTTGGAATCCAATTTTGGAAGGCTTTTATTCACCACAGTTTCAGCTTCTTCATGGGATTCTTTTGATACGATGTAATTGTGCACATTGAAAAAGTCGCCATACTTTGCCATCTAGTATTTTCCAAATGATTAGTGCACGATGTTTCAGGGCCAAACATGGGTAAAAGATCTGTGCAAAGGGCAGGGGCAGCCAGAGCTCTGAGTGCAGGCAGGTACAAAGCATTCGTTGACATGAATTCAGAGCTCACACAGCAGCTAACCCATGCCGCCACTGGGTTATGGTATAATGTTAAGGGGGAAAAAACTACAACAAAATGCTCTTTTTCGCCCCTATCCACACAAGACTGACTTCCTTCAGATACTTCAAAAAATTACAATAAATTGAATGTACAAGCATAAGTCAATTCTGTGGCCTTCTATCAAGTTAGATACAAAGGAAATTTGGAAAATGTAAAATAACACCTTTCTTATCACTGAATACTTTGTAGTGGAGAACCTGATTTTAAAATACTACTTACAGCTGACTACAGTAAGTCTGTCATTGTTTCTGTTTGTTTATGGTCCTGTGATGGAATCCAGGGCCTCAGACATGTTGAGCAAGCGCTCCAGCACTGGGCTACATCTCCAAACCCCTGCCATTGTCACTTTAAAATAAAAAAATTCTGTTTGAGTTTCTAATACAGTAAATATCAAAAGAATTAACCAACAAATGAACTCTCTTTGGCTTCGGCAATCATTGTTAAGACTGTCAAGAGGCCCTGAGGCAAATGCTGGGGGCTCTGCTGGGCTCTGCGGCTACACGGCATCCCATCGTCCTTGCTGGGCCTCCCTGGACTTCTGAGGACCACAGCCTCCTTCCTTCCTATCTTCAGGGCAGGAGCCCTGAACCCCCGGCCACAGAGGGCCTGGCAAGTCCCTCAAATGCATCTGACAGCCAGCGAGCCATCACTTTCCCTTCCTAGAGGACTTCCCCTGGCTGCCAAGGACTCCAGCAATATGCGTTCAATATTGAATGCCCACCTGTCCAGGCACCCCTTCATCTGCCCCCTCCCTGGTGAGGGCCCCTCTCCATCCGCTGCCCACTGAGCTGCCCTGCTCACATCTACCCAAGCCTGCAAGAGCCCCAACACCTAGAGACAGGTGCTCCCCACAATCTCAACAGACTGACAAAGTGAATCAATTAGCTAATGAAACCTGGTGGAAAAGAATCTCAAACTGGGGCTCCAAGCTGAATAAAAAACAGAGCGGCAGCTATCCAGGACACCAAGGTAAGAAAAGAATAAATGTGGTTTCTGCCTTCTAGAATTCCCCCTGCAAAACAGAACTCACTCTGCCTAGTACTGGAAAGGTTCTCTGCTGGGTGGAAAGGCCACAAAGTAGGGGAACAGCTCAGGTCCAGACCCTGAATGGGGCTGCCACCCACGCTGTGTGACCTTGGACAATGGCTCTGACTCTCAGCGCTGGCTCTGTGAGGCACGGTCACTCAGGAGACTCTGACTCTCAGCGCTGGCTCTGTGAGGCACGGTCACTCAGGAGACTCTGACTCTTAGCACTAGCTTTGTGAGGCACGGTCACTCAGGAGACTCAGCTGCTCCTCAGCTCATCTCCACAGTCTCTGGGGACCATGTGACACCTGCGGGCCCCAGCAGGCCTTTGTCAGTTCTCACCCTGAGGAAGAGCTAGTACACAGCTTGGGCTGTAACCGCTGCAATCTCTGTGCATCGAGGTGGAATTAGGTCACCATGAGGAACAAGTCTGACCTGGAGAAATGTCAGGTCACTGGTGAGAGTTGGGCTGAGAATCTACATTCAACAAAAGCACAGCAGATGGCTAGGACTTTCAACCAGCCAATGATGGGAAGAAAAAGGGATACAAGGAGGACACTTTCCACAGGAGAATGGAGCTGAGGTAACTGAGACCAGAAACAGGAAGTAGGCTCAGGGGCAGAAGCACCAGGCCCTTGGGGGTCTGGCACACTGGTCCATTTGAGCCTGGACTTTAAACCAGCTGGTGTCCTCACGCCCATCTATACCTAAATTGACCATGATTCCTGCACTCACAAGAACAGTCCCAGGAGAGGTCTGCTAAGAGGCCTATGGTACCGGAGCTGGAGCCCAGGTCCTACAAGGGTGGGGCTGACCACCTCAGTGTTGGCTCACGTGGGCTCACACGGAATCAGCTGTACCCGATGAGAGACGGACACACTGCTGCCACTGGAATGCGACATGCCGCAAGCACACTTGTCTGTCCTGTCAATAAACCACTTCTCCAGACAACATGCGTAGGTGAAAAATGAAAAGCCATCATCGATCTCCTTGTACAGCTGATCTTATTTACAAACAGAAGCCAGATAATCTTGTATTTAAATGGCACACGTTCCATCACTCACTATCAGAGAAGTGACACTGGAAATGTATAAAGGTTTACATTACCATTCAATTACTTTCTAAGGTAGGAAAAGCAGTAAGCTCTGGGAAAGAGAATAAATAATGAAATATTCCAGGCGCTGGTGGCTCACGCTTGTCATCCTAGCTACTCAGGAGGCTCTGATCTGAGGATGGCCATCCAAAGCCAACCGAGGCAGGAAAGTCCGCGAGACTCTTATCTCCAATTAGTCACACAAAAAGCTGAAAGTGGTGCTGTAGCTCAAGTGGCAGAGCACTAGCCTTGAGCAAAAGGAGCTTGGGGACAGTGCCCAGGCCCCAAGTTCAAGACCCAGGGCTGACAAAAAATAAAAAGAGAAAGAAAATATTAAGAAAGGAAGGAAGTGACAAACTGATGCACTAGACAAGATGTGTCTCTAGAGAGCATATTTTTTTATGAAACAGAGCAGTTCAGGAGGACATCTGGATGGGTGACGGTGAGGTCATTAATGCTTCGGCTTGGAAGGGATTTTCACGTCTTGCCCACACCTAAGTAACCAAAGCCATGTGAACCCAGTGTTATGCAGGACAACTGCTGATAACTTATTCAAACTGAGCCTTGGGTCTACGTCTTCATACTGCATTTTCTAGATGCCTTCTTTGGCATTTCTGGTCTGGCAGTTGGGCTGAGAATGCTTCGGCAGGAGAGACACGGGCTCGGGGGTGCAGGACTGCGCAGCGTAGCCGTCTCCTCGCCATCTCAGAGGAAGTCCCCCCACCCCACCCCCAGCCTCAGGACCATGACCACCTTGGCAGGGACGCCTGAGGGTGGGTTCCAGAGCAAGCCTGGAGAATTTGGTTCAAGAAACTTCCCTCAGCCACGACTCTGCTCTAGGCATCTTCTTTATCTGACAAGTCCACCTCTGCTTCCCTGGCAGCTGCTTTGTGCCAGACCTGCCCCGGAGGCAGGCGCCCGCCGCCTCTTTATGCTGTATACTTCCTCCAGGAAGGTTTCACACTTATTCCCTGCGACTTCCCCGGAGCAAAACACAGCACTGAACATAAAACAAGCGGCTGGAAGAGGCACGCTAGCACATAAGGAACCGAAACCATTCCACGCCGCACTGGAGGGCTGCTCCATCTACCTCAGCCATTGTTCTACAACAGAAACGTCAGTCCTCACTTCTAACTCACCTGCCAACCAGGCCCTTCCGGGGCCTGCACAAGATCCCTCCCACCCCCACCATTTACAGCCACTGGGGTTCCCTCAGGACCTGCCACTGCTGCGATGTTCCAATCACTTAGAGCCATGGGACCAAGGCTAGCAGAGTTAAGGACTGCCGGCAGGCTGAGGGTTAGAGACAGGGTGCTCCGAACAGGCTTGAGCAACGACGCATGGTCCCTGCCCAAGCAGTGCTGATGACTGTGGGGAGACAGAGCCTGGGGTCACCAGGACTTCCCCAGACTGAGAGGCACAACGGCTCCCTGAGGAGCACATGCGGCTTCAGACACCAAAACAGGCTTCGGGAGTTGTGCTGGCCTGGCTGATACAGAAGCAGGCCTGTGGCGGCAGGAAACACTCCTGATGCGCCATGGCTGGAGCTGAGCGGGCGGCCACGGGCTCACCTGAATGCCGTCCAGCAGCTTGCTCATGCACCAGTAGGTGTCAGCCTCGATGTTGCGCAGCACCTCTGCCGGCACGCTGGCGACGTCGACCCTGTCCACGTCCTCCTCTTCTGCACAGCACCCAGCATGGAAAAGACAAGGTGCAATTAACCATACCAAGTAAACACGACGGAGCGCGCTGTGCCACTGCCAGCCGCTCCCTCCACCCATTTCTCATCACACGGACTAAATGGCTCGTGCAGTCCCACACCTCATCACTTAATGGTTCTCAATTTCAATACCTAATTGGTTGCAGATAATTAATATTCTGAATCTTCTCCAATTAATTAACATAATTAATATATTATAAATTATTGCTTCTCAGACGTTTTGCATTCTAATAAGAGCACCCAGAATACATTATTTATTCCTAACAGAGATCTGAAAGTTTCTGCAGTAGACTTTAAACATCTCGTTCTTACATAGTTGTGTATTTATTCAGTAATAATGCCTCTGAAACCCTGTCTCCAAGATTAGTCTTTCTGAGACTGCAGAGAGTATTTCAGCACTATGATCAAATACCCCACAAAGTAGCATAGAGTGCTTCAAAAGACTGACCATAGTGCTCTAAATAACTTCCTTCTGAAAATACAGAAAAACTAATGAGTGGAAGGGTAAATTTGTGTGCATTTATGAACCTATCACAGTGAACCCTCCCATACTACAATGAACATAAACTTAAAAATACAATTTTCAAAAAAAACTAATGAGAAAACATAACTTAAATGTTTCTAATGCAAACCAGATACCTAATTGAAATGGCTTATCAGATATTTGGCCAGACAATTATGAATGCTTACAAAGACTGCTCTCATCCAGCACATTTAAATCCTGTACTTTTTTCCATTTTACTTTATTTGTAAAAGAACATGCCGCTTCCCAAGGAAAATATTCTTTAATAAATATCTTAGCCCAGAATATACTTAGAAAGTTGTAAGAGAAGCCCAACGATGCTAAGAGCAATAATGACTATCAATACTTATCCAGTGTTCATCAACGGCAGACACCCTCCTCCAGGTTCTAGCCATACCTGCTCCTGTAACCCATCACAACTCCACCGCCACCACACCTTGTACCGGGTGGCCATGGGCATGCAGAAAAACAATGGCATCCAGCAGCCTGGAAAGCCGGGGCCCTGCTGTCGGCCCACAGCTTGCATGGGAAACTGCTGCCCCAAGGGCTCAGGCCACGCCCTCCCAGTGCCCGCCAGCCGCCCCAGCAACTTCTCAGCAGCACCTGCACAGTTCATGTGCTCACAGGGACAAGCACACTGCCTGCCTGACTCTTGGCTCACAACAGAGATCAAAAAGGTAAAGAAGGAGGAGCATTTCCACAGCAGGATCCCTTGGCTGGGAGCCAACAAGCTGAGCCTTCTTGTGCTGTTCTTGAGAGCTCGGACACAATGCCAGACACGCACAAGGGCCAAACGTGGCTCTGCCGATGCAGGTCAGTACCCACCAATTCCGCCAGCCCACCCTTCCTCACTGGCACAGGACGAGGAGCAGAGAGGGGCTAACATGCTTAGGGACCATAGCAGCCTGGCTGGCAGGAAAGCAGAAGCCCAACCAAACCCAGTGTGTTCCCAACTCAGGAAGGCCCAGGCCTCCCCTCTACCGAGGACAAGGCTGAACGTGTGCCCGTGACGCACGCCCTCTAGCAGCTCTTCCCACCGCCCCTGCGCATCTCTGTACACAGAGACGGGTCTGCTCGGCAAGCCCTACCCTGCAAAGGGGGCGGCCTCAAATCTGCTGGCCCAGGCAGCTGCCGTATGGCCCGCACCCTCCTTCTGGTGGAACCCCCCCAGAGACGCCACCGGACAGCCCCCGCTCCCACTCCTCCTCACCGGACGGCCCTCGCTCCCACTCCTCCTCACCGGACGGCCCTCGCTCCCACTCCTCACAGGACGGCCCTCGCTCCCACTCCTCCTCACCGGACGGCCCTCGCTCCCACTCCTCACAGGACGGCCCTCGCTCCCACTCCTCACTGGACGGCCCTCGCTCCCACTCCTCCTCACCGGACGGCCCTCGCTCCCTCTCCTCACAGGACGGCCCTCGCTCCCACTCCTCAAAGGACGGCCCTCGCTCCCACTCGTCACCGGAGGGCCCTCGCTCCCACTCCTCCTCACCGGATGGCCCTCGCTCCCACTCCTCACCGGACGGGCCTCGCTCCCACTCCTCCTCACAGGACGGCCCTCGCTCCCACTCCTCACCGGACGGCCCTCGCTCCCACTCCTCCTCACTGGACGGCCCTCGCTCCCACTCCTCCTCACCGGACGGCCCTCGCTCCCACTCCTCACCGGACGGGCCTCGCTCCCTCTCCTCACTGGACGGCCCTCGCTCCCACTCCTCACCGGACGGCCCTCGCTCCCACTCCTCACTGGACGGCCCTCGCTCCCACTCCTCACCGGACGGCCCCCGCTCCCACTCCTCACTGGACGGCCCTCGCTCCCTCTCCTCACCGGACGGCCCTCGCTCCCACTCCTCACCGGACGGCCCTCGCTCCCTCTCCTCACGGGACGGCCCTCGCTCCCTCTCCTCACCGGACGGGGCCTCGCTCCCACTCCTCCTCACCGGACGGGCCTCGCTCCCACTCCTCCTCACCGGACGGGCCTCGCTCCCACTCCTCACCGGACGGCCCTCGCTCCCACTCCTCCTCACCGGACGGCCCTCGCTCCCTCTCCTCCTCACCGGACGGGCCTCGCTCCCTCTCCTCCTCACCGGACGGGCCTCGCTCCCTCTCCTCACCGGACGGGCCTCGCTCCCTCTCCTCACCAGACGGCCCTCGCTCCCTCTCCTCACGCCTGCTGAGGCTGGGAAAGGGGCATTATCACCACCAGGCTGCAGAAACTAAGTCCCAAAGGACTCCCAAGACAGCGACAGGAGACAGCAAGGCAGCCTGGCCCCACCAGAGCGCTGAGCAGACTGGGAAGGCCGAGGACCCCCAGCTGGTGCACTCGGCCTCCTCGCCACACAATCCCCTCTCTGGGAAAACGGCCTCCGCAGCATCTATTCACATCCTGCCCATCTCAGCAGATCCAATTTTATTTTCCAATCTCAGGGAATTGAATCAACAGCATAATCAGAGGACTTCTTCTGAGATGCTGTCCATCGACTCCTTCAAGGGCCCCCAAGCACAGAGATATTTTCTCAGATATAACAAAGGGTAAATAGGAAAGGAAGCCCTCCACAGCCCTCTCCTAAGTTCACTAAAGCAGCTGGACTCACAACCCAGCCTGCAGAAATCAGGCTCTGGGGGAGACGGGCCAAAGCCTTGATTTTTCTTAGTCTGTTTAGCTGGCTTATTATTTTATCCAGGGAAATGTCAGCCTCCTATTCTGTGTGTCATTCCTCACAACAGACCATTTGTTACTCTTCAACATAATGAAGTAATGGCATTTAACTCCGAGAACCCTGGTGCCAATTTGTCTTCTAAACGCCAAGAGAATCAGAATCGCCCTTATTGTTAGAGGGAGATAAATATGCCTTGGCCAGGACAGAAAGCACCCACACTGGGCGGAGCAGGAAGAGTGGCACAGAACACTCTGGAAGCCCTTGTCTTCAGAGCAGGAGTAGGCTGTAGAAACACTCCCTGGCTGGCGAGAGGTGCCAGAACATGTCAGGAGGACACGGCCTAGACTCTACTGCAGACAAGTTCAGCCGCATGGCTCCCTTTCCACCTGGACACGCTGGTCTGCTCCCCAACCTAACATGAGGACCACGGAGAAGGCATGGGTCGGGGACGTTCTCAGAATCAAGGACCCATAGAGCCACCAGCCAGGATGACAATTAACTCAAGACCATCTAACTCTAGGACATACACAACTTCCCAACAAACATGGGGAAAGGAGGGAGAGCATTCAAGGAGAAGACGGCCCCTGGCATGGAGGGCCTGGAGCCCTGTTAGAGAGAAGCCCCATGACCTGGGGTTGGAATGGCCACAACTGAGCACTCAGTAGGGTTTGGCTCTCTAAATAGGTATCATTCAAACACCCCTGGGAGAGGACACTGCGATCACATAAACACCCAGGGGAGAGGACACCACGATCACATAAACACATACAGGAGAGGACACCGCGATCACATAAACACCCACAGGAGAGGACACAGCGATCACATAAACACATACAGGAGAGGACACTGCCTTCACATAAACACCCACGGGAGAGGACACCGCGATCACATAAACACATACAGGAGAGGACACCGCCTTCACACAAACACACACGGGAGAAAATACCATGATCATGCAAACACACGGGAGAGGACACCGCCTTCATGCAAACATATACAGGAGAGGACACCATGATCATGCAAACACATACAGGAGGGGCATTGCCTTCATGCAAACGCACACGGGAGAGGACACCATGATCATACAAATACACAGGTCCTCTCCCCTCCACCAAACCCTTTCCCTGCCCCTGGGCTTCTCCCTCTCTCTAGGAGGACCAGGTTGAAAAAGGTGTGAGCTCTGACTCTGACAGTGTTGGGGACATCAACAAGGAGCACAAGCTAATGCACAGAAACCAAAAGGAAACAGAGAAGTCATTCTTACAGCCCAAGGCAGATCAGCAGTCCCTAGAAAACCACCACAGAATGTGAAATCAGAATGTAAAATCTAACATTTAATTTAAAATAATCTCACCATCTTACATCATAGGAAGACTTTAAGAATGATTTAAAAACCCTTCTCTGAAAATGCTGACCCATTAAATTATTTAAATAAAAGATCTATCTGTAAAATAATCCTACCTTTATCAACAGTTCCATTTATATCACAAGATCTAGAACTGTACTCACATACAAACACACACACACACACACACACACACACACACACACACACACAGAATATGGTTTACCACAGTACTATACAGGGTGAACCCAAAACGCCATACTGAGGAAGAGCTATCACCCTTTATTTTCTACAGAAGGGTATAGAACAGAAAGGAAGGCAAATTATCACAAAGAACACTCATTTTTACAACAGGAAAAAACAGCCTTGTTAAAGTCACTGGAATAGTTTAAGATCTGTCTTTTCCCAAATGAATAACTAGAGCAAAACTTCAAGC